AGTAGAATGGGCTGATGGTAACCTGATTCCTTCAGACCCATCCAATCTCGTCTCCCTCTGTCTCAATGGGACCAAACAGAAGGGAGCTGTGAACGCCTTACTCATCCCTCCCATCTTCCATCTGGACAGTTTGCCTGTGCTTGAACTGCAGCTCCTCCGCTGGAGACTTAAAGGGCAAGTTCTGCTTTTTTTTGTTTGCCTTTTTTTTTCAGGAACCCATCTGAGTCACCACAAGCTGGACATGTTCCCTGCCAAATTTCACTTCCTCACACCAGTGTTTTGTTTCACTGAAAAAAAAAAAAACACTCTTGGCTTCAAGAGGAACGTGTTTTTTTTATACTACCTGAGCATATTAGCTTTATTTTACAACCTCCATTTCACCGAGCTGAGCTTATTTGGGGAATTTGCACTGAAAATAAACTATGTGCCACTTTATAAAAGAAGGCAGAGGCTGGTGCACTTTCAGGTGTTGCTGTTTGCAAACAGTTTCTGAAGGAAGCATGTTGCCTGTCTTGTCTACCTTCCTCTGTTAGAAAAGTGTAATTATGATGTAACAATGTCTTTTTATAAGATCGGTTGAAGCAGGGTGTTTAAATCTCTCCAGCTGCTACAATACACTTGGTGCTTTGGGGAAAGGGACACTCTGCTGCGGTGCTCTCATGTGCAAATTAACCAAAACATTGGAACAAATTACAGGTTTTGTGCCTTGTTAACTCACACTGAAGAACCTCCACACCGACAGTGTAGCATGTTGCTGCAAACACAATATGAGCCATTCTACAGCTGTTAAAGTGGGATATGGAGAATATTATAAACCAAAAACCAATTCGCCAAACCCTGGTCACAGCTAACAAATTCTAAATCCTTTGTGTGTTAGTGTTTAAATGTCTTAGTATTAATTTCAAGATAATATTTTTGCTATTCTTTTAATCATTAAAATACCTCTTTTTTTCATATTTTCATCATTAGGAAGGGCATCCTGCCAAATCAAGCAGTTTCCTTAAGGTGAACTCTGCAGAAGGAAGTGACTGAAACAACAAAAACAAAGTAAATGCCTCATTTTTAAATATATTTTGTGGTCAAATTAATTTGTCTAACTTTTCCATGACATGGCTCCCCCAAACAGCATTAGCTTCTGGCTGGGAACCCACTTGCAAACAATGCTACAAAAGATGTAAAACATCAACTATTAGAATGTTTTTCTCATTTTTATTCACTATTCAATAATTATTACATTTGTTTAGCAAAATAGCTTTATTAACTAACGTTTTAAACACTCATATTCCTACTGAGAAAAGTTTTCAACAAACTGCTGAAGACAAGGACAAAATAAATCAACCTCTTATACCTCTTAAATACCATTATAATATATTAATATAAATTGTACAATTAAACAATAACTGAAAAACAGATTTAATTTTATGATGATTTAAACCATTGATTAGATGTATTTTTTAATTTTTGCATTTTTTTTTTCTTATCTTCCCTCCAGCTTTCTGAGGCCCCACTAGTTCCCCCTGGCGACCCCCCATGGCCCCCACTTTTGAAAAACACTGGCAGTGAGTGCAGCTAACTAGCAGAGACAACTAACATGCGTTAACATATCTCTGAATGCAGCATGTTGTACATTTGTACAGTGTGATGTTAGGTAATCATATCGGAGGAGACAATGCACACTAGGCAAGAATAATCATTCTTTGTGTTTATTTCCTCTTTTAGATGTCTCATCATAACCGTGGTACACAAAGCCCCCAAATCTTTCAGCTTATATTGTCACCAAAACGGCTCTGTCCGAAGTCGAGATTGCCTTACCCCTCACATCCTCCTGTCGCCTCTGTCTCCACCCATCCCCCCCACCCCTCCTGTCCAGACCCCCGTCTCCTGACCTAATCTAGATGATTAAATCATTTTTCTTTAGCACAAATATTGTCCCCCCCCTCTACCCCTGCTTCACTACTCTTGTCTGGTTGTTGGGTCACACACCCTCCCCTATTGATCGTCATGCTGAGGAGATTACCCTAATAGCTGGGATTACTTCCCCCACATGTTGGTTGGCCACATACCCTCTGGGGGAGGAGGGGAGAGCTGGGGACGGTGCGTGTTGTGCATGATGTGCAAGTGCACGGAGAGGGTGAGGGGAGGAAGAGGAGGAAGAAACAGAAAATCTCGGCCTATTTGTTCCTTGCCAGTGCATGATAAGGGCCTGAACAAACATCACATCTGGATGGGATGGATGGGATATAACGAGAGTTCTTGCAGCTTAAATCATTTTTAATGTTGTTCATAACTATAAAAAATAAGAAAGTGTTTTAAGAGCGAGGCAAAACAAACAACCCTGAGGACAGTTTCATTCACCGATTAAACGCTACTAAATTTAAAGCCCAGTGATGTAGTTTCATAATAAATCAATGTGTGGATTTAACATTTGATAAAACAAATTATGTTCACTAAGTATTAAAAAGAGGTTATGTGATCATTATTTTGTATTTTCATCATAAATGGTGTCACAAAGGTAGATAAATACTAAAGAAAAGTGCACAGTAAGTCCACTAATCACCAGTTTTCAAATGTTTGAATCATAATAAACTTATAGCACAAGTGAAGAAATTTGTGTTTGGTCAAGTATTTATTTATTTATTTATTTATTTATTTATTTGTTTGTTTATTTATTTATTTATTGCAACAAGATAACTTGGCGATAATGTTTCTGCCATTGGACAGTCTGTGTATTTCCCTTTTAACGAGGTACCTTTGTCACGGAAAGAAAGGCATTTGTGAGTTGAGCAGAAAAGTTGAGAATGTGACAAACTTGTCAAATCTTCTCTGCCACAACCAAACAGCATATCTATACACTCTTGTTTTGAGCTCCTAGAGCAGAGGTTCTCAAACTGGGGTCCCAGAACCCCAAGGGGTCCTCGAGAGGTATCTTGGGGGTCCTTTAAAAAGTTTCATAATATGTTAATTTGGTTTTTATCTTTAAAAACGCATGGAGAACAATGAACTCATAAAACAATCATTATAAACTAAATAAACA